TCCCTCCCTGTTTTTCTCTCCTTTTTTTTTTAACACAACCAACCAACTTAGCAGAGAATGCATGGTGCTTATCATCTCTGCTCCCTTTTTCTCTCCCCTTTTTTTTTTTTCTCCCTCCCTTTTTTTTTCTCCCTCCCTTTTTTTTTTCCCTCTCTTTTTGTTTTTCTCCCTTTTTTTCTCTCTCCTTCATTTTCTCCATAGCTGTGAGATCGTGATTTTATGTTTCTCTCGTTGCGCATTTTCTTCTCTGAAATTCCAAAAATGGCACACAACAGATCTGGTTGCGCATTTTCTGCTTGAAATTTGAATTTTCTAGTTTCCAAAAATGGCACACAGCAGACCTGGTTGTGCACTTTTTCTCCTTAAAAATTCTTAATTTTTTTATTTTCTTTCCAAAAATTGCACACAGAAGATCTGGTTGCGCATTTTTCTTTTTAAAAATTCAAATCCCAAAAAAAAGTGCACAGCATATCAAAAACCCATGTACATACTTCCTCCCCCCCTCTTTTCTTTTTTTCCCCAAAGGAAAGCCAACTTTCATTACCAAGCCCAAGGCAAATAGCTAGATATAACTGCACCATTAAAAACCACCACTACTTCGCTCAGCTTCTCTTCTCCATCTTTGGCCAACACCTTTCCGCCCCTCAAAACGCCCTGCGCGCCCAAAAAAAAACGAACCAGCGTAGACCTTCTTTTGTCTGGCGCTGCTAGCAATTGTGCTCCAGTAGCCCAACCCGCGAAATACGCGGCGCGCCTACGACCGCGTCAGAGAAAAATTGGCTGGGCGAGGTACTTGCGGTTTAGCAAGCCGCAAGTTTCACACCTCGGCCTACCGGAAAATGCCTGGTGGTGCCAGCCAAAATGAGGCCCACAACGATTCTCGCTTTTTTTGGAGCGTGGGGCGTTTTCAGGGTCTGGAAAATGTTGCCCCAAAGTACTGGTGGCTTAATGCAATGCATTCACTGTCATACGATGTACACCTCAGTTTGATCATCCATTCATGACAGTCCGTCCATAGCCAAACGACAGCCCGTCCATAGCCCAAAATGATAACCAATTACCCAAAATGGAATGAGAAGTCGTCTGAAAATTGAGGCCGCCGTTAACCGCCTCTCCCATCCATAGCCAAAACGACAGTCCATAGCCCAAAATGACAACACATAGCCCAAAATGACAGTCCACCCATAGCCTGAAATGACAACCACTCGCCCAAAAGGACAACAGTCCACAGCCTGAAACGACAACCCATAGCCCAAAATGATCAAAATCACACTCCATAGCCCAAAACCACAGTCCATCCATAGCCCGAAATGACCACCACTCGCCCAAAATGACAGTCCACAGCCCGAAATCAGAACCCATAGCCCAAAATCAGTCCATAGCCCGAAACGACAGTCCATAGCCCAAAATGACAACCCATAGCCCAAAATGACAAACAACAAGATGACTAATGTCATTTCACCCATGGAGCAACAATGTTACATATCAAATTCTGAGTTCTTTATGATTTCGTCCTCCACCCCTTCCCTCC